GCCCTCAATCTGGACTAAGGTTGTGTTTCTTTCTAAGCGTGATGGGGGCTTCCGACCCATCGCGCTCATTCACATCTTGGCTCGTGCGCAGGGGAGGCTTCGCAAGCCTTTAGTAGCAGCTTGGCAGCAGCAGCATGATCGTCCCTTCTGGTGCTCCACGGCTGGACGCTCCTCGGACAAACTGGTTTGGTTGCAGGCTTCAGCTGCTGAGTGGGGCAGAGCGCGTGGTTTCTCTAGCGCCCTTGTGCTTCTTGACCTTGCCAAAGCATTTGAGCATATCAGGCATGATGTTTTGTTGCATGCAGCGTTGCGTACGGGCTTCCCAGTGCGTCAGCTCAAGCTGCTGGTCGAGCTTTATCGCTGCCCTCGCGTGCTTGCTCTTGGCGAGGCGACGTCCACGCCAATCTACACTCTGCAAGCTGTGCTGCCGGGGTGTCACTTTGCCACTCTGATGTTGCAGCTGGTGTTGCTGTCGCCTCTAGACGCCGTGCAGGCAGCGTTCCCGCATATGCATCTCGGCAGCGTGGTGGGCGATTTTGGCCTGCAACGGCTCGGTCGAGAAGAGGATATTGCTTCAGAGCTTGCAGGCGCCACTCGATTGTTGCATTCGCAGTTGAGAAGGGTTAGCCTGCCCATTGCCTTAAACAGGAGTCGGGTTGTTGCTTCCAGCGCCAGGCTCCGCGGGCTCCTTGAGGCCCGACTTCGCTCTGTCAGGCTCAAAGGGGTTTACACTGAGAGGAATCTTGGGATCGATTTTGCTGCTGGCAAGGTTTGCAAGCAGTTTGTCCGTGCTAGCAGAAAAAAAGCCTGCCGTCACCCGAGCGCGCAAGTTGCTGGCTCTGTCTCCCTTTGTCCGCAAGCGGCAGCTGCGCACGATGATCCGCAGTGCTGCTCTGTCCTCGCACACCTACGGGTGCAAGGTGCTTGGCGCCACTGGCGCAGATCTCAGACAAGCGCGCATGCTGCAGGTTCGAGTGCAGGCGAACAGTCTCGATGTCAAGAGTGTGACGCTGCTGCTCATGCTCAGTGAACGTCGTCAGATAGACCCTGCATGCGAGCTGCAGTGTGCCCCTCTGTTGCAGTATGCCACCGCGGTGTGGGAGCTATGGCACCCACGAGCGATGCTGGAGCAAGGGTTGCGAGGTGCCGTTGAGAGGTTCACCGATCACGGCAATCCTTGGGCCAGCATCCGTGGCCCTTTTTTCCGCGTGTGCTGCGACAGCTTTGCGGTTCGGCATCAGCATGCAAGGTTTTGGGTGGTCGCATCCTTGGCGCGGCGAGGTTTCTATATTGCAGTCAGGGCCTCGCACCGTCCGCAAGTGGCTCTATCATGTCGTGCTGCAGTGGCTATGGGAAAAAGTGGCCTCGAGAGAAGGTGTTCCTGAGCTCTCTCTTGGGTGCAATTTCCAGCCTCTGCAGTCCCTCTTAGCCTCTAATGGCCTCAGACACGATGAGAAGGCCTACCTGCGGAGTGTTGTCGCTGGGGGACAGTGGCCCCAGCATCGTCAGTGGCTTGCGCAGTGCACCGCCGACCCCCTTTGCCGCTTGTGTCAGCAGGCCCCTGGCACGCCCTTGCATCGTCACGCGAGCTGCGCGGGCCACGATGACATCGCGGCACAGGATGTCCCACCTGATTTCTTGACCTCGGTTGTCAGGGCGAGCGTTGACCCTCTTCCTCTCCTCTTCGCCGAGAGGCCCCTCGTCCCCGAGGCTCCACTTCCTCCTGCGACCCCCCTTCCCGATCGGTGGTTCGGTGGAGGACCGACCGGGATGGCGGGGCACATCTTTCTTGACGCCAGCTGGATGGACCAGCATCTGCCGCCAGCGTCTCAGGCCGTAGGCTGGGCCATTGTCAGTGTGCAACCGCAGCATCCGTATAATGTTAACTCGGTGATGTGCGGCGCCCTCCAATCTGTGTGTCAAGATATTGACTGTGCCGAGCTGTTTGCCCTCAACCGTGCTCTGCAGCATAGTGCTCCTGGCAGTATTTTTTACACCGACTCAGCTTTCGTCCACGATGGAGTTTACCAGCGTGGCAAGGTGTACTGTTGCTCGTCGCGCGCAGCCTGGTCCGAGCTATGGGTCCAGGTTTGGCGCCGCATCGACGACTGGGGCGGCATCGAGTGCATCGACCTGCGCAAAGTCAAAGGTCACTGCGCCGAGGCTCGCATCCAGTCTGGACTCTCTACGCGCTTTGAAAAGGTGGGCAACGCGCATGCTGGCGAATGGGCTCAGTGGATGGCCTCGAGAGCCCGCATTGACCCTGAGCTCCGCAAGGTTCGCGTTTAAGTGAGAAGGTGCCTGGTAGAAACCAAACAGTGGGCGCCCGACCCGCGACGAGCACAGGCACTGTTCGGGCTCAAACAAAAACACTAGCAGCAGACAAGCAAGCGCGCACTTTTGGCAACCGCAGGCGCGTGCTGTCCTCTTGAGCCTCAGGTGAGGCTCCGCTGTGCCGCCAGACTGGCGGCTCCTCGGCCCGAACCGCTACGCGGTCAAGGCCGAAAAGCGAAAAGGACCTACGAAGGGCCAGGGAGGGCCTGGGAGGGAAGGGCCCGAGAAAGAACTTGAGCCCCAGAGGGGCCGCGGAGAGGGGGAAAGGGACAGAGGCAAGAGAGACCCTTCCCCCTCACCAGGCACTTACTCCCTGAAACCCTACGTTTTACGCACGCTCAAACTCTCACGTTTAAGTGAGAAGGTGCCTGGTAGAAACCAAACAGTGGGCGCCCGACCCGCGACGAGCACAGGCACTGTTCGGGCTCAAACAAAAACACTAGCAGCAGACAAGCAAGCGCGCACTTTTGGCAACCGCAGGCGCGTGCTGTCCTCTTGAGCCTCAGGTGAGGCTCCGCTGTGCCGCCAGACTGGCGGCTCCTCGGCCACCCAGCTTCGCTCACCCCCTCGGCGCCCGTGACTTGCGGGTGGTGCCGAAGGGGCTCACAGCTGGGCGCCTCACTGCACGGCGCGTGCCGGCGCTGGCGAACCAGCCGGCCTCCTCAACCTCTCCTCGGCCACCCAGCTCCTCTCACCCCCTCGGCGCCCGTGACTGGCGGGTGGTGCCGAACAGGGCTCACAGCTGGGCGCCTCACTGCACAGCGGGTGCCGGCGCTGGCGGAGCACCGGCCGGCTTCCTCAACCTCTCCTCGGGGACCGCACTGGCGGGACGCCCCAGCCACCTCCGCCTCTCCTCGGGGACCGCACTGGCGGGACGCCCCGGCCCTCGGCCTCCTCACCTCCGCACGCCCCTTCGGCGCCCGTGACTTGCGGGTGGTGCCGACTGGGGCTCGCGGTCCTCCTCCACCTCACCTCCGTCCGTCGATCCAGGGGGTCGCCACTGCCCCCAGGCCATTGCCCCAGGACTGCGCACAATCCAGCAACGGCTCCTCCAGTGGTGACACGCCTTGGCTCAACACTCGCACTCCTGGTACTGGCCTCAGGCTCCCGGCTTCTCCTTCACATCAGCAGCCGGTCCGCCTCCCGCCGTTTCAACCTTGTACCCCACATGCAGGGTTGCCACAGACTTCGCCATCGCCTCTGACACTCCAGCGGCGTCCTCATTCGCCTCCCACAAATACTGGTGGAAGGCCCCGCTGTTCCACCGCCCCCAACGCTTGACCAGCTCCGTGTCCTGGAAGCAGTGGTACAGGGCCGTCGCCCCGCCGATTCGGAGCGAATGGCTCTTGAACCTGTCGGGTGGGTAGCCTTCCAGCGCCGCCGCCTTCTGAAGCAAGCCCTGGATACGCTCCCGCGTGATCGGGCTGCCATCTTCCCACCTCGCAAGTGGTAAATGTGCCTCTTTGCCCGCGATACGGCTCGGGAACCAGCGGTTGTAGCACTCCGCCGCCCACGCCGGGCAGATGCCGAACGGGTCGTTCGAGCGGTAGTGGTTCCTCGCCTGCCCTGCTCCCTTCTGGTCAGCCTTCGACGCCTTGAACCACAGCACCACCTCGTCCGCGGCAGCGAAGTGGCTTACCTGCTCGCCCTTGCACTTCGGGGCAATGTCCAGCCCGGTCAAGACCTTCTTCAAATCCCAGTGCCCCGAGTGGGCGTACTCCCCAATCCGCATCATGAAGAAGAAAGCGAAGATCACGCAGAAATACAAGGCCGCGTCGTCCGCGCAAGTGTCCGGCTTCAGCATGTCTCGGATTCTCCTCAGCATCTTGGTCGTAACCGGGAGCTTCCTCTTTCCGGGCCCTTGCCAGTTCTCTATCCCATTTAACGCCATCCACAGTCGCGGCTTACCCGCCAAGGGGTCGGGCTCACCCAGCATCACGTGGTGTGAACGGATCCCCAGCAACTTTGACCGTATCGTCCCGTGCGACCGCTTCAGGCTGTTGTACAGGTGCACCATGAACAGCAGCAGCTCCTCCTCATCTTGGTGACGCTCTTCACGAGTCTCACCATGCAGGATGGGCGACCTCCTACGGATCCGGCAGAACGTCGTCCACTGCCTCCAAGCGACGCCGTAGGTCGCCTTCGTCCCCTTGGCCACCGAAGCCACCACGGCTGCGTCTACCAACCTCT